AAATTTTATGGGCCACACCTGCAAATGGCTCACATAGTTTTCACTCACATTGCACTTAAGAATTAAGCAATTCCTAAGTCACATGACCCAAACCTAACTTCAAGAGGGGCTAGAAATGTAGATTAGCTATACAGTAATTGGTTTGATCAAACAGTTTGCCAATCTCTGCCAGAGCACACAGGGGTAAATCCAGATGGATTAAGAGCTACATTCAGGCCAAGCAGGCTCAGCCTAAAATCCCAGTACCTTGGGAGATCAACGTGGGAGGATCACTTGAGGCCACGTGTTTGAGATCGGCCTGGCCTACGTGATGAGATTCCATCTCTACCAAAATAAAAATAAAAAATGAATAGCCAGGTGTGTTAGCATGTGGCTGTAATCCCAGATACTTTGGAGGATTCATTGACCCCAGGAGTTCATAGCTGCATGAGCTATGATTACACCACTGCCCTCCAACTGAGTGACAAAGTGAGACTTTAAAAAATGAAAAAAAAAAAAAAAAAAAAAAAAAAAAACAGAGAGAGAGAGAAGAGCTACGTTCAAACATATACCTATAAAAATACTAGAAGAAAACAATAATTTGAAGATGTCAAGAATTCTATGGGGAATGGGAGTTTATCCTACCTGCAAGCTACTAAGTTAGCCTGTGACAATTTTAGAAATGCTGGCAGAAGACAAGTGATCCTGGGTTAGAGACAAATAATTTTATTAGTCATGGCAAAAACAATAGGCAGAGTGTGAGCATGATACTTGTGTCAGTTTCCCCATTGGGTTGTGGGTCCTTAAAATTACCCTAAGGCTCAATGATTCACTAGAAAGACTCACAGGAATCCAAGTATGGTGGCTCATGCCTGTAATCCCAGAACTTGGGGGGCGGAAGTGGGCAAATCACCTAAGGTTGGGAGTTCGAGACCAGCCTGACCAACATGGATGAAACCTGTCTCTACTAAAAATGCAAAATTAGCTAGGGGTGGTGGCACATGCCTGTAATCCCAGCTACTTGGGAGACTGAGGCAGGAGAATCACTTGAATCTGGGAGGCAGAGGTTGTGGAGAGCCGGGATCATGCCATTGCACTCCAGTCTGGGCAACAAGAGCAAAACTCCATCTCAAAAAAAAAAAGATTCACAGAAGTCAGAAAATTCTGCTGTACTCATAGTCATCATTTATCACAGATTAAAGGATGAAGATGACAATCAGCAAAGGAAAAGGTACATAAGGCAAAATCTAGGACAAAACAGGGGCAAGCTTCCAGGTGACCTCTCCAAGTGGGGTCATATGGACACACTCCTGGAAATGATGTGTGAAAACATGTTCTAATGTTGTCAGCCAAGGAAGCGCACCGTGAGCCTTGGTGCTCAAGGTTTTTATAGAGGATCAGTCACATAGACATAAATCACTTACAGGAATGATCTCTGCTACTAAGTCTCTAGCTTCCCAGAACAAAGAAATGTTCACCATAAATTGCATTGTTAACATAAACTCTCTGATCAAATTGGTACCATGTTTGCCAAAGGCTCAAAGACCATCTCCCAGGAGTTGTCCAAGAGCCAGTCCCTTTCTCAGGATGTACTTATTTCTCTGAGCATAATGTGTGACAACTTGTGCAAAGTGTTGCCAACTAGGATGCTTACCTGATCCTTGGCGTCTACGGTTTTTACTGGGGAGTCAGTCACATAGATATACATCACCTGTCTGACCTCAGCTACTCAGACTCCAGTCTCCCAGAGAACAAACAGGTATTCACCATAAATCACTTATATAAAACTAGCTGATCAAACTGATATTAGAAGGTCCAAGGCCTTATGCATACAAAAATGCTCTTATCAGGTTAACTATTAGTTCAGAGCTCATCTCCCAGGAGCTGACCAAGGACCAGTCTGGAAGACAGGCATATCTTGAGAATGTGTAGAGCTGGCAGAGTTTGAACAACCCTGGCCAGCTGAGCTAACCCCTTCCTGTATACCTGTATTCTCCCAAGCCCTATGGGGAAAACGCGAAGGACCATTGTTTGATACCTATAGATACACTGTAGGAAAGAATTTCTGAACTTGGCTGATTTTTTTGTCCTGGAGGAGATGTTACTCATTCTTCAAGCTTGCCAGTGCAAATAAAACCCTGAAAAATGACCCAGGTAAAAGGTGAACAGGGCTTTGCACTCTTGGTATACTTAGCAAGAACCTGAGGGAGGCACAAGGCTTATGGCAGATTGCATTGTCCAACAAGGGTAGGCTCTCTTAAATAAGATAAAACACAGATGGCAAATTGAAGTGACTGATAACTTTGGTCACATAAAAACACTTATATAGCACAAAAGATACCATAGAAATGAAACTAGGGCATAGAATATGGTATGGAATGATCATCATTTCCACTCAAAAAATTCTAATAAAAAATTACAAAATCATAACTTTTCTTGAATCCAAAAAGAGATGAGGTGGTCGGAAAACCAACCAGCCAGAGATCTAGGGAAATACAAGCACCTCCTAGGAGCAAGATTTAAGAGCACTGGTTCACTTGTGACAGAGCACAAAAGGAAGATGGGGTTGCCATGAAGGTAAGAAGTATTTGATTAGTTTTTGATGAATTGCTGCAGCTGAATAAAGCCCTGAGAGCTGCTGACATAAGAGGAATTTGCATCCAATTTGAGGCTCATAGATATGAGCCTACATCTAGACTCTTGTGAGAGAGATGGGAGACAGGGAAGAGATAAAACTCTTGACGATGTAGGCTCGAAAGAGAAGGGGCTGCAGCTGAAGGAAAGACACAAATCTCCACTAGGACCTTTTTTCTCTAATGGAAATAAAAAGCCTTATTAAGCCACCTGAAGGAAGGACATCAAATACTGTCACTCAGGACACAGGTGAAGACTCACTGTGACTTGTGAAAGGGTAAAAGAAAAGAAAAAACAAACAAACAAACAAACAAAAACCCAAACCCTGTATCCCTGGAAAGGCACAGAAAGCTATTCTGCGCCCAGACTGATAGATTGATCTCCTAACTAGGAAAGGGTCAAGAGACTCTCCTGGAAAAGATTTATCAAAGATACAGTGACAAGTTTTGCTGTCACAAGGAAGAGAGGCAGGATCACTGAGATTAACAATCCCAAGATCTAGCCATGGTTCTTTAAGTATCAAAACTGCAGAAAAACCTTTAAACATCAAGAGCTCAAAAATTCTTTCCATGAGTCCTTTTTTTTTTTTTTTTAAGAAATCTGCTAGATAATATACTTTATTTAAACAAAGAATGACTAGAGAAACTACAGCAATTTAGCATTAAGTGTACTTAGTTGCAAATCTAAGATCAAAATTAAGGTGATAACAAGATATAATATTAGGTTATATGATAATGCTATTTGTTACATGCTGCATGTTCTGATGAATAAAAAATGATGCAACTGAAAATGGGAAGAGAAGGGAGATGAAAAGAGGAAAGCAGGAGAAACTCAATAACTGGTATTTAAGCAACAAGTGAAAGTTAAAGAATGTCATTAAAGATGGACAGTACAGATTCTAAATTAAAAAATGGGGGGAGGTGCTAAAGGCATTAAAAAAGGTATAAACAAAAGGACAACATAAACATAAACCTTCCTAAATACCAAATTTAAGATTTTGTTTTTAAAGGATGGCACAGTAAACATATTATAAAGAGAAATGGACTAAATGTAATAAATATAATTACAGCATAAAATTATCTGGCAGGGTTAAGAGCAAACATATTCATCTCTCAACACATGTGAAAGGGCTTACTTCACTTATTAAATGGAAAAGATCTTCATTTTGGCTCATAAAAAACCAACTATATGCTCTATTCAAGAGACACACCTAAAACAATTAATTAGAAAGGATAAAAATAGGCTGGGCATGGTGGCTCATGCCTGTAATCCCAGCACTTTGGGAGGTCAAGGCAGGCGGATTACCTGAGGTCAGGAGTTTGAGACCAGCCTGGCCAACGTGGTGAAACCCTGTCTCTACCAAAAATACAAAAATTAGCAAGGCGTGGAGGCATACGCCTGTAATCCCAGCTACTCAAAAGGAAAAAAAAAAAAAAAAAAAAAAAAAAAAAAAAAAAAAAAAAAAAAAAGAAAGACAAAAAATAAAGGAATACTCAAAGTTATTCTAGACAAATGGAAATAAGAATGCAGAAGCACCAGCTGGGTGTGGTGCCTCACGCCTGTAATCTCATGCCTGTAATCCCAGCACTTTGGGAGGCCAAGGCAGGCGGATTACCTGAGGTCAGGAGTTTGAGACCAGTCTGGCCAACATGGTGAAACCCCTGTCTCTACTAAAACTATAAAAATTAGCCAGGTGTGGTGGTGGGTGCCTGTAATCCCAGCTACTGGGGATGCTGAGGCAGGGAGAATTGCTTGAACCCAAGTGGCGGCGGTTGTGGTAAGCCAAGATGGCGCCATTCCACTGCAATGAGACGAAAAAAAAAAAAAAAAAAAGAAAAGAAAAGAAAAAGAGAAAGAAAAACAAAAGCAGGAGCACAATACTGACATCGGATGAAGTAGCAAGCAAACCACTGCAGGGCAGGGCTTTTGAACTATTTTTCTCAATCCATTTGTAAAAATGAAAAGGAAATAAAAAGAGAAACTAATGCATCTGATTACATGATAGAGTAAATGGCAGAAAAAGGCAACATGATAGAAAACAAAATCAAGACAATTGACAAATTAGGAAAAATATTTGCAATACTTAAAACAGATAAAGGGCTACTATCCCTAATACATAATAAATCTTAAAGATTAGGGGGAAAAACACTCACCAGTGGAAAAATGGCAAAAAACATATAAAAATTTCACAAAAATTGATATGAAAGTGGTCCTTAAACATTAAAAAGTATTCAACTATCCTGCTAAAGAGTGAGCAATACATAGCCAAATTACACAGAGGTAACGTTTCTCACCATCTTACTGTCACAAAGAGGTCACGGGAAAATAGGCCTGTCATACACTGCAGTGGTCATACACAATGGTACAACCTTCACAGAGGGGTTTTTACCAAAACTACATATGCATTTACATTCTGACACAACATTACCACTTCCAGAAATTTACTCTGAAAATATACCTGCAATAACATGAAATACATACCGATTTTTCATATTTCCCTTGAAACACTGTAATTGCAAAACATGGAAAATAATCCATATGCCCATAGATAGAAGAGTGGTTTAGTAAATTCTTATACGTTTACCCAGTGGAGTAATATAAGACAATTTTTTAAATGAGGAAGATCTGTATGAACAAATCTGCAGTGATTGCCAGGGTGTATTTTAAATGAAAAAGGCAAAGTTCATGTAATTATTTAGGGAATGCTAATTTTTGCATAAGAAAGAACAGGAGGTAAGAAAATAGACATATATTTGTTCCTCTGTGCAAACAGGAACATAGGAAGAATTTACCAGGGATTAATGAAATTTATTATCTATAGGGGATGGACGGGAATGAGGTGGAAAGAACAAACAATGGGAAAGGGGAGAGTTGCTAATTCTCTGAGTATAGTATTTTGTGTAGCTCTGACTTCAGGAACAGTGTTGCTGTTTCACATACATAAAAGGAAAAAACCAAAACTACCATGGATGGAGGAAAAATCATTAAAATAAAATACTGTCAGAACTATATAAACTTCACTACATTTCAAATGAAGTACTACATATACTGAAGGGAGGAGAAGAGTCTCTATTCACCCAGGTAACTTTATATTATTTTTTAAATTGAGATATGATTCACATAATATTTACCCTTTTAAAGTGTAGTTCAGTGGATCTTGTATGTTCACAAAGGTGTGCAATCAACACTATTCAATTCCAGAATGCGTTCATCTTTCTAAAAATAAATGTCAGACCCATTAGCAGGCACTCACTCTTCTTTCCTCTCCCAGCTCCTGGTAATCACTAATCTATTTTCGTTCTCTATGGATTTACTTATTTTGGACATTGCATGTAAGCGGAACCGTACTGTGTGTTTGGCTTCTTTCAGTTAGCATTATATTCTCAAGGTTCATCCATCCATGTTGTAGTGTGTATCAACAGTTCTTTCCTTTTTATGCCCAAATCTCAGTCCATTGTATGTATAAATCACAGTTTACTCATCATCAGATGATGGATGTTTGGGTTGCTTCTTTTTCTTTTTTAAGCTATTATGCCACTATGAACATTCACATTCAAGTTTTTATGTGAACATGTTTTCAATTCTCTTGGACACTTACGGCTATAGGTGAAAATTCTGGGTGACATGAGACTTTCATCATGCCTATGTTGGTACATCTGATAGCGTCCCACAGATCTGAGCATCTGTTCTTTAGTTTTGGGCTTTTCTTCATAATTTCTATCTGATTATTGATGTTCTCTATTAGGTGAGACATTGTTCTCAGACTTCCTTTTAGCTCTTTAGGCATAGTGTACTTTGGTTGAACATATTTAAAATAGTGTCTTCAATGTCTTTTTTGAGTCTGAAGTTTGGGCTTCCTCAGGGAGTTTCTATTCATATTTTCCCCCTATCAGTGCATGAACCATTCTTGCTTGTTTTTGTGCATGTCTGATAATTTTTTGTTTAAAATTGGACATTTTAAGTAACATAATGTTACAACTCTGTAAATCAGATTCCCTTCCCTCACCAGGTTTTGCTCTTGTTGCTATATTTTGGTGTTTAGTGAACTTTCTGACTACTTATGTGTAAAGTCTGTATTCTTTGTTGTGTATGAAATATCTGATTAATATGCTTAGTAGTGTGCTAATAACGACAGAGATTTCCCTAAATGCCTGGAATCAATACTTCTCTTTGTACTGGGGACTCTGTGTGTTGGGGCACACCTTTACTACTTCGCCCCAAGTTAACAGCTTTTCCTTAGCCTTCTCTTACTTATGCACTGCCTCAAGGTCAGCCACTGGCGAGAGTTTAGGGCCTTCCCAGCTTTTCCTGACCATGTACACAGCTTTATGCACATACATAATCTCCTTGATTCTAAAAAAATGTCATAACTTATTAAAGTCCCTATCTTTTAGTTGTTTAGTGACCTTTCTGATCTATTTATGTGTAAAGTCTATATTCTTTATTGTATATGGTCATTGAAATTTCTGATTCATTAAGCTTAGTAGTGTTGTTACTTTGGTTAAAAAAAGAATAATAGAAAAAAAGCAACAGAAGTTCCCCGAGGAAGCCCAGACTTCAGACTTATTCAAAAAAGACAAGAACGATGCTATTTTAACCTACTTTTTGGTTAACTTACTGTTTACCCCAACTGTTACTCACTGCCTAAGATAGTCTTGATGTGCGTGTGTGTGTTTTTTTTTTTTTTTTAAATGCTTCTAATTGTTTCTGAAAACAATCTCTGGGAAAAAGCTAATCTCATTGGGTAAGCTCTAACTCAGGTGAAACAAAGACAGCAAGTCAAGTTTTCCAGTGAACCATCAGACAGGTCAAATAACGATAGTTCTCATGGAATGTCCAACCTAAGAAACTCCAACCCTGCTTTGAACTTCTTCCAGTGGCTGCCAGGCTGCTGTTTTGCGCTATGATCATGGGCTGTTGGTTTTCACAACTACCATGAATCTAGGAAACAGGAGATTAGAATAGAGCTAGGTTTCACAATGATCCCTATTCTTATCAAGATTTAATTCAAGATTCAAGATTTATTTTTTCTTTAGTAAATACTTCTTAAATTGCTGCAAGCGTTTGGTTAATTCTAGAGTTCTGAAAAAGTTGATTCTGATAGTTTGGACAATTTTCTTATTGCTTTTAGAGACAGAATTATTTTTGGATGTTCGTACTCTGCCATTTTCACTGTTATTACCCCAGATAACTTTTAAAGAGCTCTAAACAAATATTGAACCCTTTGGCTAGTAGGCTTCTTTTATACAGAGCTATCACTTAGCAACTCTGAAACTAACTTATGTATGTATGCTAGGGTTGAACTTTCAAAATATGTAAATATATCTTTGATAATGGTAATCTATTTTCTCACTATTAGAGAAAGGACTTACATGTCAAAAGGACATGGCTCCCACTGGCCAAATTAAGTAGAATTTGAGCATCAAAATAAATAATGAAGGACTTATATTTTGACCATTAAAGAATAGTAGGGACTAGATTTTCCCTTCTATATTAAACTAGAAAACTGGACAACGTATACCAAACAACAGTTTTCAGAAAGTGGACAACAGGTGGCAAAGGATAACTATACGTGACAGAAGAAAAACAAATGAGTTGAGTGCTGCAAGTACGCCAGCTCACTGCCTGAAGTTTCTAGACTGTAGTGCAGAGAGAACCCCAAAGAGCTCAGTGGCCTTATTGACATTAGAGACAGACTTCAGAGTTCAGAAAGGCCAATGTGATTAGAATTTGTGAGGCAAAATACTAGAGGAAGGAAATACACAGAAAAAGTGCTCCAAAGATCTGTAGAAGGGTTCTTTCAAGTCTTCAGGAGAACAACCTGTGCATGATGTACAAAGAATACACTAAGGCCAGGAAAAAAAACGAAATACTAGAAAGGAGTTAGTGGAACTATGCCTTACACAAGCCCAAGTATAGTTTGTGTTCTGACCAGCCACTGCAAAACGATTTCCTAAAAGGTAAAGTATCAGGTAGAGTAATGCCTCGTACTGAAGTCATTGAACCTAGTCGATGAACCCTAGACCAGGGTTTCTCAACTTTAGCACTGTTAGCATTTTGGGCTATAAAATTCTTTGTGTATATATATTACAGACAGTTTAGCAGCATCCTTGGCCTGTATCTGCTAGATGTAGCCACCTCCCACCCCTCACCCTTGACTATTTGAAATATTTCCAGATGATGTTGCCAAATGTTCCCTGGGGGGGGTTGAAAATTGCTCCAAATTGAGAGCCAATGACCTAGACTAATGATTTTTCTAGACACATTCTAACAGCACAAACTTCAAAATGACCAATCTGATTCTAAGTAACTTCATTGCATCTCAGAACAAAGTCCAACAGTACTTATAACAAAATCTAATAGCTAACAACTAACACATTTAACTCTCTTCCCTCTTAAGTTTTTACTTGGACCCTAACTCCTTCCAGTTGGGGTAAAAAGTCTTGGACAGACTTAGCAGTGTGAAGGATAGTGACCCCAACTTGACAGTCTGGCAAACTCTGGGTAGATACAGAGACATTTTCCTGTTACTTTTTTTGTCAGTCTGAAATTATATCAAAATAAAATTTAAAAGAAAGAAGTACAAAAACAATTTATGCATTCAACACAGCAAACATAATTTTCTCTCTGCATAATCTTTTGAATTCCATCATTCTATTTATCTAAGTTCTTTTTTTTTTTTTTTTTAGACAGAGTCTCACTGTATCATCCAGGCCGGAGTGCAATGGTGTGATCTCGGCTCACTGCAATCTCTGCCTCCCAAGTTCAAGTGATTCTCATGCCTCAGCCTTCCGAGTAGCTGGAATTACAGGTGCTCACCACCACACCTGGCTAATTTTTTATATTTTTAGTAGAGACGAGGTTTCACCATATTGGCCAGGCTGGTCTTGAACTCCTGGCCTCTAGCGATCTGCCTGCCTTAGCCTCCCAAAGTACTGAGATTTCAGGCATGAGTCACCACACCCAACTGAGTTATCTAAGTTCTTGAAATAAGTAGAAATGACTCTTGAGAGTTTGTGAATACATGTTAACCATATGGCCTTCTCTGCCATTAAAGGCACTAATGTGCAAGAAACATAGATTAGCATTATTAAGTTTATCAAGAACCTTAAAATTTTTCCCAGCAGAAGTGAAACATTGGAAGAGATTAAAAAAATTCTATTCTCCTTTTAAATAGCAGTACTGTGATGTATAATGCAGTCCTTTCCTCAGTGAGTCATCTTATAGTTCTTGGCTTAGCATCAGTGAAAATGTTCTTTTTAATCCTACCACCTTCAGAATTTGTTGAGAATTAGAATCTATGATTCCTCAAAAATTCTGAAATAAGACTATATAGTCAAATAACTAGATAATATTCTTGATTCAATGAAAATATTTATATGCAGTGAAACATAAAACAAATTATTGGTTGTATTGCTACATTTAAATAATTTACTTAAGTAACTAAAATATAATTAAGAATCCCCAAATTGTTCTAGACAACTATTTTAGAATCAAAAAGTACATGATCATAAGTACTTGAAAGTATAATAAAATTAATATTTATTTAATTATCTGTACATCCATAATAAAAGTTACTAGTTTGCTAACAAGAATGATTTTTAACAAGGGTGATCTGGTTTAAACAGCTATGATTTCCTGTTCCCATTATTATTTAAAAATACATATTGACATTTATTTTTAAGGACACAACAGAGCTGAACCAGTAAAGCGCATGTCATGATAAGCACTAATGAGAAAATATGAGACCACTATAATCCCCAAATTACTGAATAAGGGAAACAGTCTGAGGGATATTATTAAAAATCAACTTAAGTACATATTGGATTTGTGAAAGGTCTATGTAAACATAACTTGAATTTACTTAAAAAAGGAAATACAAAAACATTCTATAATTCCTCCCAAGAGACTTATTCAAATATGAGTTTAAGTAATAGCTGCCGGGCAGGGGCTGATGAAGCCAGGCATGGTGGTGCATTAACCTGCAGTCTCAGCCCTTTGGGAGGCAGAGGTAGGAGGATCACTTGATGCCAGGAGTTTGAGGCTGCAGTGAGCTGTGACTGTACTACTGTACTCTGGCCTGGGCAACAGAGTGAAACCCTATCTTAAATTTTTTTTTTTTTAAGATGGAAAAATTCACAGAAGAGGCACTAATCAATCATCAAATGTAATTTTCTTCCCCTGAAACACAGCAATGTTAGACTGCTGTTCTTTTCGCCTTCTGCTTGCTTCCCATGAAGGATGAAGAGGCAGCGGCAATTGCTGTTTCGTATTTTCAAGTTTTCTTTGTAGTTTCTTATTAAAATGATTCTTGATCTGAGTTTCATTCTGTGGAAAATCTAGGAAGAGAAAGCAAAAATAACTAAGTATATACCTAAAGAGCATACAGGAGAAGTACATTTCATCTTTTTCAAACCAACATTAAAAAACGAAATTTTGATTTCTTAAATGGAATATTTCACAATTTAAAACTGAAGTCCAACAGGGAATAGTCTGAAGTTGAAAATTTACATATGAGCAGTCAATTTTGAACACAAGATTTCTTTTTTTTTCTTAAATTTATTTATTATACTTTAAGTCCTGGGGTACATGTGCAGATTGTGCAGGTTTGTTACATAGGTATACACATGCCATGGTGGTGGTTTGCTGCATCCGTCGCCCTGTCCTCTACATTAGGTATTACTCCTAATGCTATCCCTCCCCAATGCCCCCCCCCCCCGCCTTTTCCTACCCAAGCCCCCCCCCCCCCACGCCCTGGTGTGTGATGTTCCCCCACCGTGTCCATGTGTTCTCATTGTTCAACACGCACTTAAGAATGAGAACATGTGGTGTTTGATTTTCTGTTCCTGTGTCAGTTTGCTGACAATGATGGTTTACAGTTTCATCCATGTCCCTGCAAAGGAAACGAACTCATCTTTTTTTATGGCTGCATAGTATTATATGTGCTACATTTTCTTCATCCAGTTTATCATTGATGGGCATTTGGGCTGGTTCCAAGTCTTTGCTATTGTAAACAGTGCCACAATGAATATACATGTGCATGTGTCTTTATAACAATGATTTATAATCCTTTGGGTATATATCCAGTAATGGGCTTGCTGGGTCAAATGATATTTCTATTTCTAGATCCTTGAGGAATCCCCACACTGTCTTCCACAGTGGTTGAATTAATTTACACTCCCAACAACAGTGTAAAAGCGTTCCTATTTCTCCACATCTTCTCCAGCATCTGTTGTTTACTGATTTTTTTAATGATTGCCATTCTAACTGGCGCGAGGTGTTTTATCTCAATGTGGTTTTGATTTGCATTTCTCTAATGACCAGTGATGATGAGCTTTTTTTCATATGTGTGTTGGCTGCATAAATGTCTTCTTTGAAAAGTGTCTGTTCATATCCTTTGCCCACTTTTTGATGGGGTTGTTTTTTTCTTGTAAATTTGTTTCAGTTCTCTGTAGATTCTGAATATTAGCCCTTTGTCAGTTGGGTAGATTTTAAATGTATTTTCCCATGGTTTTGGTTGCTGGATCACTTTATTGATAGTTTCTCTTGCTGTGCAGAAGCGCTTAAGTTTCATTAGATCCCATTTGTCTATTTTGGCTTTTGTTGCCATTGCTTTTGGTATTTTAGTCATGAAGTCCTTGCCCATGCCTATGTCCTGAATGGTATTGCCTAGGTTTTCTTCTAGAGTTTTTATGGTGTTAGGCCTCATGTTTAAATCTTTAATCCATCTAGAGTTAATTTTTGTATAAGGTATAAGGAAGGGATCCAGTTCAGCTTTCTGCATATGGCTAGCCAGTTTTCCCAACACCGTTTATTAAATAGTGAATCCTTTCCCCTTTGCTTGTTTTTGTCAGGTTTGTCAAAGATCAGATGGCTGTAGTTTTGCAGCATTCTTTCTGAGGCCTCTGTTCTGTTACATTGGTCTATATCTCTGTTTTGGTACCAGTACCATGCTGTTTTGATTACAGTAGCCTTGTAATATAGTTTGAGGTCAGGTAGCATGATGCCTACAGCTTTGTTCTCTTTGCTTAGGATTGTCTTGGCTATGTGGGCTCTTTTTGGTTCCATATGAAGTTTAAGGTGGTTTTTCCCAATTCTGTGAAGAAAGTCTTGGTAGCTTGATGGGGATAGCATTGAATCTCTAAGTTACTTTGGGCAGTTTGTCCATCAATGAGATTGATTCTTTCTAACCATGAGCATGGAATGTTTTTCCATCTGTTTGTGTCCTCTCTTATTTCCTTGAACAGCGGTTTATAGTTCTCCTTGAAGGGGCCCTTCACATCCCTTGTTAGTTGTATTCCTAGGTACTTTATTCTTTTTTTAGCAATTGTGAATGGGAGTTCACTCATGATTTGGCTCTCTGTTTGTCTATTATTGGTGTATAGGAATGCTTGCTATTTTTGCACATTGATTTTGTATCCTGAGACGTGGCTTAAGTTGCTTATCAGTTTAAGGAGATTTTGGGCTGAGATGATGGGGTGTTCTAAATATACAATCATGTCATCTCCAAACAGGGACAATTTGATGACCTTTCTTCCTATTTGGATAGACTTTATTTCTTTCTCTTGCCTGATGGCCCTAGCCAGAACTTCCAATACTATGTTGAATAGGAGTGGTGAAAGAGGGCATCCTTGTCTTGTGCCAGTTTTCAAAGGGAACGCTTCCAGCTTTTGCCCATTCAGTATGATATTGGATGTGGGTTTGTCATAAGCAGCTCTTATTATTTTGAGATATGATCCATTGATAACTAGTTTATAGTGAGTTTTTAGCATAACGGGCTGTTGAATTTTGTCAAAGGCCTTCTCTACATCTATTGAGATAATCATGTGGTTTTTGTCTTTGGTTCTGTTTATGTGATGGATTATGTTTACGATTTGCAGATGTTGAACCAGCCTTGCATCTGAGGGATGAAGCCAACTTGATCATGATGGATAAGCTTTTTGATGTGCTGTTGGATTCAGTTTGCCAGTATTATTATTGAAGATTTTTATGTCAATGTTCATCATGGATATTGGCCTGAAATTTTCTTTTTTAGTTGCATCTCTGCCAGGTTTTGGTATCAGGATGATGTTGGTCTCATAAAATGAGTTAGGGAGGATTCCCTCTTTTATTATTGTTTAGAATAGTTTCAGAAGGAATGGTATCAGCTCCTCTTTGTATCTCTGGTAGAATTTGGCTGTGAACCCATCTGGTCCTGGATGTTTTTTGGTTGGTAGGCTATTAACTGCTGCCTCTACTTCAGACTTCATTATTGGTTTATTCAGGAATTCAACATCTCCCTGGTTTAGTCTTGGGAGGGTGTAAGTGTCCAGGAATTTATCCATTTCTTCTAGATTTACTGGTTCATTTGCATAGAGGTGTTGTAGTAATCTCTGGTGGTAGTTTGTATTTCTGTGGGATTGGTGGTGATATCCCCCTTTATCATTTTTTATTGCTTCTATTTTGAATCTTCTCTCTTTTTTAAATTAGTCTGGCTAGTGGTTTATCTATTTTGTTTTTAAAAAAAAACAGCTTCTGGATTTACTGAGTTTTTGAAGGGTTTTTTTGTGTCTCCATCTCCTTTAGTTCTGTTTTGATCTTAGTTATTTCTTGCCTTCTGCTAGCTTTTGAATTTGTTTGATCTTGCTCTTCTAGTTCTTTTAATTGTGACATTAGGGTGTTGATTTTATATCTTTCTTTGCTTCTCTTGTGGGCATTTAATGCTATTAGACACTGCTTTCAATGTATCCCAGAGATTCTGGTACACTGTCACTTTGTTCTCATTGGTTTCGAAGAACATCTTTATTTCCGCCTTCATTTCATTATTTATTCAGTAGCCATTTAGGAGCAGGTTGTTTAGTTTCCATGTAGTTGTGAGGTTTTGAGTGAATTTCTTAATCCAGAGTTCTAATTTGATTGCACTGTGGTCTGAGAGGCTGTTATGATTTCCGTTCTTTTGCATTTGCTGAGGGGTGTTTTACTTCCAATTATGTGGTCAATTTTAGAATAAGTGCAATGTGGTGCTGAGAAGAATGTATATTCTGTGGTTTTGGGGTGGAGAGTTCTGTAGATCTCTATTAGGTCCGCTTGGTCCAGATCTGAGTTCAAGTCCTGGATATCCTTATTAATTCTGTCTAATTGATCTGTCTAGTATTGACAGTGGGGTGTTAAAGTCTCCCACTATTATTGTGTGGGAGTCTAAGTCTTTTTGTAGATCATTAAGAGCTTGCTTTATGTATCTGGGTGCTCCTGTATTAGTTGCATATATATTTAGGATAGTTAGCTCTTCTTGTTGCATTGACACCTTTACCATTATGTAATGCCCTTCTTTGACTCTTTTGATCCTTGTTCGTTTAAAGACTGTTTTATCAGAGACTAGGATTACAATCCCTGCTCTTTTTTCCTCTCCATTTGCTTGGTAAATCTTCCTCCACCCCTTTATTTTGAGCCTATGACACACACACTTTCTAACCCTTATAAGTAGATACTTATTGAGTGCCTCTTAATTTATGCCATGCTGTCTTACTTATAATAACATAAAGAAAGGAATCACATTGTTGTACTAGCATAGAAGGTAAAAGAAAGGCATCTGGTATTTTCAAAGGAACATCTTTAGCTTATGATATCTGTGCTCATGAAGCAGATGTAGCTAGAAAATTCACATCTTAGCTAAGACACTCCACTGGGTCCAACAATACTGATAGTGTTTACTTATTTTGAAGGGCTACAAATTGATTCCACTGCGGTCTGTTATTGAACCAAAAGTTGTTATTACAAGGAAAATTACTAAGTCTAATCAAGAATATAAGACAAAGTTCCTTTTTAGTTGTAACGTTATTCTCCAGTTACAAAGGTGGCAACTTGTATTCTAGTCCTTATAGTATCTTATCACTTTACATATTTTGAACCAAGTCTTATTTGGAGAAGATACACTAGCATGAAAAGACATAAATCAATGTACATTTTAAGTAATCAGAAAGAAAAAGAAAGACAAAAAACTTAATATAGACATTAATCAGTCCTAGGAGTATGTAATTTCTCCACTGCAAGTTAGACATCATTGTCAGAAGCTTTTTAAAGACCTCTTTAAGAAAACGAAATATTTTATATAAACCAGTGTATAGTTTGGGATAATATTTACAAAACATTATGTAGACAGAAATCAAAACATCCCTTATCTTACACAAATCCCATGTGCTCTAGAAATCTGTTATAATGTTCAAAGAGTGGCTCTAGTGATGAAAGGTTTAAAAAAAGATTTCATGAAAACCGAGATTTGAATAAAGCAGTATTTCTAAATGAATATATTATTTTATATATTACATAAATTAGAATTGTAAATGTAAATAAACTCGTAAATATTTTAAGCATACAAACTAAGCACAAAAAAACCCTTTACTTGGATATTCTCACTGTGAAAGTGTAGGTATGTCTTATATTTACAGTTATCCAATGTTTGTGAATATATGGTATAAATGGGGCATTACTGACATGGTTCTGCCAAATCCTGTATTATCTTCCTTTTTGGCATACAATTAGAATGCATTTTCCATTCCTGCTGCAGTTACCTGATGTCCCACGGCTGAGTTATTGCTAATAAAATGTGAGTAAAAGGCCTGAACCATAAAAACCTCACATTCAGTCTTCCATTACTTCTCTATCACTGATGAATGAGGAGGATCCAGAGGAGGGAAGAGGCACAAGATAGAATAAAACTCTGAGGGGCAGACAGACTGATGGATGACAAAACACTGAGATTTAGTAGTTACCTGTTAGAGCAGGTAGTTTACTATGAATAATACGAAAATTGGTACTCTGAAGTACCATTTCAGTAACATAAAAATTTGGCATTGGCTTAGCAGTTCAGCGGTAGGTAGCAAGTAGGTAGCAAGGAAATAGATCTCTGAGAACGGGAAGTAAGGAGCTTATGTGCCAAAGAAATAGGGAAAGCTGTTGTCAGTGATTACTTGGCAAGTAGGCCACAGGCCTATGGAGTTAGCAATACAAAGGTAACTGGTGGGAAAGAATAAAAATATCAGTATATTACTGGCTGTCCTTGACAATATACTATACAAAAGAGAACAGATGGAACAGAAAGAATCCAGATATTTGGGAACTCAATGCTTAGAAAATCCTTTGATTCCCAAACAGTAGGCTACAAGACTAAGAAAAGTTTTAAGTAATAAAGGCACACAGCAACTCAGTCCTAGAGCAGAGATAAGACTAAATGTATGGCTACAATTCTCACCCAAACCTGATAATTCTCAATGCAGTTGATGCTGAATGAGAGTGGGAGTGGGAAAAACAAAACAAAACACAATCAAACATAAATACGACAAGTTTGAGAACTAGCTCTAGGAAAGAATTTCCTGTACAGCAGATAGCTTACAGATGGACTCAGGGAAACGGAGGTCAGAAATCCACTGAGTTTTTGAGAAAGTGTATAGTGAAAGAAATCACAAACCTGGGATGGAAAAAAAACCTCTGTTGAACTTTGTACAAATCTTCATCACTTTATACCTGTACTAGGGACTTGGGGGCAAACTCCAAAGAGATCATGTTAAATACCCACTTCAGATGTGGCCATGAAACAAAGACCCTTCCTAGACAGGACCAAGAAGAACAATGGATAGGGAGGTTACTCTCAGAGCCTTCGTAATCTTTGCTCAGCAGAATTTCAGGTAGTATATCTGTTGTGTGCCTTCCATTTTTCACTTAACCAATCAAGAGTTTTTATCGTCATTACCTTATCCCTGTTCTGCTACTCTACATGTGGTATATCATGGTATGAATTTCTTTTTGGTATGAAAGTCACCAAACTTTGAGGAATCCCACCCATGAGATTTGATGGAAAGTACTGCATCATCAGTGATCCTGGACTTTGAGCTGGATGCAGTGACTGGATGTGATTTCGGGTTGGCTTCCTTGGGAAGGAGGTCAGTGTGCTCTGTGTAGGAGGAAATGTGAAATAGGCATCTGGTGACAGAAAGAACTGTCACTGGCAGAAACGGTTATGTGCCCACGAAATTCCACTTCCTCTTTTCTCCTAGATATACAGTAAGACTACATTTCTTAGCTCCTTTGTTGCTAGATGGGGTCATGTGACTGAATTTGGGTTAATGATATGTGAGCAGAACTGACTTTTGCTACTTTCAGGCCTGGCTCATAAAAACCTACAAAATTATCCATGTACTCCATTCCCTGCTATTGGCAAATGGAGAATATTTGGAACCTGGAGGAGGAAGGAGCCAAAAGATGGAAGAAACCTGATCCTTAAATGACTATGTAAAAAAGTGCCTCTCTAATTCATCAAATGGACTGTGATGTAAATGAGAAATGAACTTTTGCTATGTTAAGTCAGTGAAAGTCTGAGATTATGTGAGAAGTTGGTATACCCAAATATATTAAACTTAGGTTTGTTATGAATTAATCTGAAAATATTCTGATTATACTCTTACCCAAGAAAGTAATATGCTTGTTATTCAATGTTTAATGGAATGGCCTTAGTAATTAGACCACTAATAATTAAGATATAACTTACACAGTTTACTTAAAAATGTGTTAATTTGAGATAAGTTAAATAGACATAATATTTCCTGATAAAACTTTGTCTGTATCTTTCCCTCTGGCAGGACACAGAAAAAAAGAAAACCAACAACAAAAAATTATACTGATAATTATAAGATGCTCTGTTAATATTTCTGTGGGTACATCATTCATTCAGGCTATATTAAGCAACCACAATTTTTCATTCCTTCACTTTGGCAAAACATAGCTTAATTGTATATGGAGGTCAGGCAACTGTGAATACATACCTATGGATCTGGTTTTTGGAGCCTGTTCTTTGCAATTTCTAAAAGAAGAAAAGCACCATTATGACTTTTAAAAGATAAATCCTCTGATCTTAAGAACATAACAAAACTGATGATAAAACTAATTCAAAGGCTACTATACTCCTTAGTCACACCAGCAAACAATAAAATAATTATGAAAGCCCCAAGTTTTAGCTGTATCAAACAGAAGTTTGTTAGAATCCAATGCTACTACAGACACATGAGGACCTATTTCTCTCACCACCCTTAAAGAGAATTCTGTTTGTAAAGAAAATATCTTATCTTGGTTACTTTGCCTTTACTCTTGGGGACTATCTTGATAAAGAAATCATATAACAAAAGCTAAGATTTACATTTTGGCTGGCCGTGGTGGCTCGTGCCTGTAATCCCAGCACTTTGGGAGGCTGAGGCAAGTGGATTACAAGGTCAGGAGTTTGAGACCAGCCTGGCCAATATGGTGAAACCCCATCTCTACTGAAAAAAAAAAAATACAAAAATTAGCCAGGCGTGGTGGTGGATGTTGTAGTTTCAGCTACTTAGTAGGCTGGGACAGAAGAATTGCTTGAACGAGGTAGGCATAGGTTGCAGTGATCACGCCACTGCACTCCAGCCTGGGTGACAGAGGGAGACTATGTCTCCAAAAACAAAAGGATTTACACTTTGTGGTATGCCGTTTTCATATAGGAAAAAAAATGTAGCTTTTGGAAGCAAGTTTGGAAAATATAAGTAAATATTTTACTTATTTCAATGCTCCACACATTTTTATGTCTTTGCCACACTGTGACATTTTTGAAAATTTTCTATATCACATTTTTCTATTTCAATAAAGACTATCCCAGACTTGTAAATAAACGCAAAACAGTTTATAGCTATTACTGAAGAAATTAGCTAACCATGGTCTTCACTCTAAAATGTGAAGATATTCTTTATCAAATTGGAATTACAAATAAAGTTAAATTTACTGATTTAGAACAGCTATGAAAAGTGGTGAACAACAGGATGGAGATAGCAACATCATCAAATAAAAAGCAGTCTGGAGAAACTCAGTTTAAGGGCAAGCAGCCTTATATACTGAAATGGGATTAGACAGTAAAATGATTGATGTTTACTATAATGGTCCTGGGTCATCATGAAAAAAACACCATATTCTTTTCAGAAAGTTCTGTTGAAAAAGATATTTAAAATATTTTCAAAAGTTTTTCATTAAAAAGGATTTCAAAATTTCAAAGCTGTGGTAAATGAAGGAATACAATTAAATTAGCCTGGATATTATTTGGCTATAGGGTCTTGTTTTTTGATGAAACTGGACAAATGTGGCATTGCCGTTATGTATATCTGTACCTAATATATAACCTATAACCCTGCAAAGGGCCAAGTCTAAAAATAGGATGGGTTGTATAAACTAGAATTATAATCTCTTCGTGTATGGACATATAGCTATTTCTAGCATTTTAAAAAGGAATTAATGATTATTTTGCCATATGTGTATCTGTACGTAATATCCCACTATAACCTTGGAGAAGGCCAAGTCTAAAAACAGGATGGGTGGTACAAACTAGAATTATAGTCTCTTCATATATGGGCATGTGGATATTTCTAGCGTTTTAAAAAGGAACTAATTATTATTTCAGAATAGGAAAAAGAATCTTACCTTCTAGAGCTTTTAGATCCAGATAAAGAGTGGAAAAACACTGATTCCAACTTTCTGGTTTCCGTATCTGGCTTGGTTGTGTCATTTCTTGTATCCCCTTGAGTTTCACCTGTATCTTCTTTAAGTAATGCTTTTTCAAGTGGCTTTTGTTCCTTAACTGAAGAATGACAACTACTTTCCTTCTTTCGTGTCCGTCTGACTTTACCAATGAAAAAGTCGTCACCACTATCACTATCTTCAGACATGGAAGACTGTTTGTAAAATCTTTCTTCTGTGCTATCATCAAAATACTCCTTCTCCTCTTCACATGATTCTTTTCCGCCATCACTGTTACCACAGAGTGAGCTATCAGATCCTTTGCTTTTTTTGGTTTGACTTAGTGTTTTCAGTTTTGGGTCAGCAGGTGTCTTCCGGGACTCTCGGGAAACTACAGAATCCTTTTCTGAAGGCTTTGACGGAGAATTTAGAATAGTCACAGCTTTAGCTCCATGTTCTACCTTGGTTATTTTTTCTTTTGAATTATGTGTTGGTTTCTTTGCCAGTATTTTGGTTTCTTTCACTTTTTGCTCACTGATAATAATTCCTTCATGCTGTGAGTTATTTCCATTATCATTTGAATACAAAGTATTCTTAGAATGATTGTCCTCTGAAGCATTCTTTGATGACTCAACTTCAGCAACATTTTGTCTTGCATCCTTAAAGGCTTGGACAGCAGCTGTAACAGAAACAATGCATGATTTATTTTAGCAGTGAAACATACGAAACATGACTGTTTTAGAGCACTATTTTAAAAATTATTTGAAAAGATTTAAGAGGGCAATTGGAATTGATATTAGTACATATCATGGGTCTGAATTCATAAAGAAATCTTTCAACTTCTTAAAAACCAAACATAGTGGCTCATGCCTGTGATCCCAGCACTTTGGGAGGCCGAGGCAGGTGGATCACGAGGTCAGAAGTTCAAGGCCAGCCTGGCCAAGATGGTGAAATCCCGTCTCTATTAAAAATACAAAAATTAGCCGGGCATGATGGTGTGTGCCTGTAATCCCAGCTAGTCGGGAAGCTGAGGCAGAGAATTGCTTGAACCCGGGAGGCGGAGGTTGCAGTGAGTGGAGATTGTGCCACTGCACTCCAGCCTGGGTGACAGGGCGAGACTCCATCTCAAAAAAATCAAAAAACAAAAACAAACAAATCTAACATACGATATGCTCAGACGTATTCATTTTAAATTGTGAAAATGAAAAGAAAATCCTTTCTTAATGTCTTGGAGTTATGAAGAACAGTAAAAACGTCACAGAATACAAACAAATAAAATGGCAACTTTAATTTCTGTAGTAATAGTGCATTGAGTATTATAAATTGTGCTTTCAGACATAAAAATCAATGTAAGATGTGACAAAAACATTTCATTTTATAAATATTATTTTATAATAAACGCATATAAATGAAAATTATCTAAGTGGCAAAACCAAATGAGTTATATCAGTATTTAAAAAACTATTGATCTTTATCATGTATCTATTATATATAAAAACATATATTATATATTCATATATTACGAATTTATTAAAAAATACAGATTTGGTTTTTCTTCAGAGATTATAGATACTTTCTGTATTTTCAGAAACCTTCCACATTGGTAAATATGTGAAAGAAACTTACATTTATAATAGATCCTCAAGAATTAAAGAACCATAAAAATATTTAAAAGTAAGTGATTGCCATTAGCCAAGGTCTACATATACATTAAGTACATTGCTTAAAAGTCATTTAATTCATACCTTTTAGGACATCTATCTTTTTCTTCAGAAGAGGATGTACTGCTAGTCTGGCAATTGCTCTTTCAGTTGCAGTAGAATCTGGCTGCAAATTAATGTTAGGAAATAAAATAAAGACACTATTGAAAGTGAATAAAATAAAATCTATCATAGTCTTTAAAATTAGAGTTGGAGAATAGAACCACTTAATATTCTCCTTAGATAACTTATCTGTATAATCCATCCATGCTAAAAACAAAGATCATTCAGACAAAAATATTTCTGACTGAACAATTAAAATTATTACTTAATCATTAATAAATATTCTTTGGATACTTAACTGTAATAAGCACCATGTGTAACATTAAAAAAAACATAGCTTTTACTATCAAAGAACTTAACTGATCTAATTTAGAAAACTAAATATCAAGGAATGAAATTGACATATTAGTGCTAACCTGTGTGAGACTACTGTAATACTTGAAGTCCCATTTAACAGAGACCTAGAAATTATCTAATGTTCTTTATTTCTATTTTAAATGTCTATCATCACGGCCACGTTCTCAGGGCCTGGAACAATGCTTGGATCATAGAAAATATGTTATAAATATTTGATGATGACTGAATGGGAATATTATATGTAATATTCAATATATTTATAAATTTTGGAAACATCATAATGCCAGCTAATTACTTGAAATGCTATATGAAAGCTGACAACATCTAAATTTCTACCTCGTGCTTCAACCTGAGCTCTAAGCTGATACATCAAACCACCTAACTTGACATCTATTTGACATTGTCACAACAGAATTTTTTGCTTTTTTTCTCACAAATCTGTTTCTCCTATAGCTTTTCTATCTTATTGTATGTGATTTCCATTCTCCTGGTTGCTCAGGTCTAAAACTCTTAAGGATTCTTTTCCAATATTTCTCTTCCTCAAAACTCACAATACATCCCCTGTGATTCCAAATGTAAAATATATCCAGAACCAGTCACTTCTCACCATTTCTAATTCTTACTACCTTTGCCTAAATCATCAACACCTCTCACCTGGACCAACATAATAAGCTTATAACTGGTCACTTTCCTTTGCAACTTGCTCTCTTAACAGTCAATTTTCCAGGTGGCAGCCACAGTAATTTTAAAAAATATACTCAAATCATGCTAATCCCATATCTGTTCTTCTTTAAGCTTTACTGTCTTAAGATGCTTAGGCCATACCATTGCAGTCTCTTCTTTACCTGGAATACTCTGCTCCCAAATATATACATGGCTGATCATCTGACTGTATTCAGGTCTCCGTTCAGATGCCATCTCTACTAGCACAACACTTCCCATCACTATTTACTTCACATCGCTTAGATTTTCATATCCATGAGGCATAGACTTTTTTTTGTCTCATTGCTGTAGATTCAATGCCTAGAATAGTAACTGGTAATAATAGCAGGCACCCAATATACGTTTAATAAAGCAAGTCAGTAAATTTCACTAGTGTGTGGAAGTAGAACAACCAGTATCAAATGTCTTTATTCTAAATTTAGCCTTCATTGTGAATAGTCAAATATATGACATTTCCAACCCAGTAATATAAATGTATGGATACCAAAATAAAAACAAGATGATGGCAGTATGCAAGCTATTCTATTTGGAGGATTTATCTGAGTAATGTCACTCAGAAAATAATTTATTTAAATTACACCTGGTGTAAATCCTGTGCCAGGAATACCTGCTATTTAATTACCTTGGGTACTAGGTTGAATAATATCCCCCCAAAATTCATGTCCAAAATCTGGACACTTGGAATGTGAACTTAGTTGGAAATAAAACCTTTGCAGATGAAATTATTATGGAATCGCAGTGGATCAGGGTAGTCCTAAGTCCAGTATGACTGGTTTCCTTATAAAAAGAAGAGCATTTAGATATAGGGGCACAGAGAGACATAGTGAAGACTATATGAAAACTAAGGCAGAGATTGCAGTTATCCTGCCGTTAGCCACCAGTAGCTGGAAGACGCAAAGAAGGCTTCTCCTCTGGAGCTTTCAGAGAAAGCGTGGCCTCACTGACATTTTAATTTCAAGCTTTCACCCTCCTCAACTGTGAGACAATAAATTTATGTAGTTTTAAACCACTCAATTTGTGATACTTCATTATGGCAGCCTCAGGAAACTGATATACCTCTATTCTGACTATTAGACATAGCTTCTGTTCAGTCTTTTCCAAGAAATGTAGTCTACTTATAGACCATTAAGTACAGCACAAAGTGAACCTCTGTTTCTTCAGCCCACTGCTGGGTTTCCTGATATAAAACAGGAAAGACAGAAGAGAATTTAGGAAGGAAGCCTGCTGCTAGTATCCTGAGTCACTTAGTGACAAGCTGGGCTGCTGAAGGCATAGGTCAAACATGGTTGCCAGAGTATTAAAAGCTAGAATATAAAAACCCCAACGAAGAACACGACCTTTTCAGGCTAAAAAGACTGAAAACAATATATGAAAATAGAGAGTCATATCAGTATATTGAGACCTACAATATTTCAAATAAAAAAAACCAAGTCACCGAATAATAACCTAAAAAGAAACGGTACACAGATCAGAATGGTTCTAGACTTTACTTCTGGAAGCCAAACTACAGAGCAGCGAATGCTTCTAAAATTCTGAAGGAAAAAAATTTTCAACCTAGGGAGGAAGAAAAATACTTCCACATGCAAATTTTTTACAAAATTTACATCCCTTGTACACTTCCGTCCAAGAAGCTACTGGCTCCACTAAAATGAGGAAGGATACAAATAATAAGAAAGGCATAGGAGACAAGAAACAGAAGACCCAGGCAGGAGTAATTTCCCAGGATGATGGTGACATGAGACTTAGGTTTGGGATACTTGGTGTGTTGAATATCTGGAGAGGACATGTCAATAGCAGATGGACAGTTTGGTGTTACACTAGAGATAAGACAAAAAACTAACAAAATAAACCTATCACAAACTAGAAAACGAATATGCAGAAAAAGAAAATAATCACTCAGTACATGACTCACAGTCACAATAACATAATCACTAAATCTTCATCAAATCTGATTCAAGTATATAAGGATGGAGGGTTACGGAGGAGGATACGTATATGACTTAGAGGCTGGAGAAGAAAAGAGGTCTAAATCCTTACCTGCCACAACATAAAGTTAACAGCTAGTGCTTAAGATGAAAAAGTTAACACAGTACTAATAATATAATATAAACATCTTGCTGTAGGGGTAAATTCTCTATGAATTAACTGCAATGGAGGCAGGAAAGGAATAATAGAGTATTGCCAATTTTACAAAAAAAGAGTATTTTAGAAGTATTTGATTTTCAAAACCAGGAATTGCAAATTGGCCCATGAGGGCAGTTCCAGCCTGCTGCCTGTTTTTTTTTTCTTTTTTCAAATAAAGTTTTATGGGAACAAAGCTAAACTCATTCATTTATACACCGTTTATGGCTGCACTCATGGCACAATGGCAAAGCGAAGTAGTTGTGACAGAAGCTGTATGTCTTACAAAGGCATTAGTTTTAGGTCCTTTGCAGAAAAACTGTGATGCTTGCTCTAAATTACATGCGAGTAAATCCTAAAAAGAATCAGGAAGAAAGAAAAAATTGTGAAGCTGGCCCATGATGTTTAAAAATTTAATTTAAAATAAAAATACTACCACGATAGACTTCTGTTCCCAAATCAAAGCAACAGGTTATAGCTGTGCTCCAGATTGGTAACACAATTAGAAACAATTTGGTATTCAATGAAGAAGCATATGTTTCAATCCTCAGGATTAATTACAGAAGACTTCTATGTTAAAACAGTGACAACAAAAATGACTAGTCCTGAGAAATGTATTCCTCAGGAAACTGCCCTTCAGGTTATAGAAAAAAAGAAGATACTCCAGGAGCACTTGTTTATCTTTTAGTGCTGCTTTCAGTGTGCTTACCCCTTATAGTTTCTAAAAATCCACTTCAAAGTAATTCTCAATACATGAACAGATGTAAAACAGACATAAGAAATTCTGGGGATCCTAACCAGATTTTGATTAAAATGTATTCTAACAATTCAAAAACACATCTACTGTTGTTCCCAAATCCCTGCTTTGACAACTTGCTAAAATCTTTGCTGAACTGGGTATTTTTCTTTCCAGAGTTAGCTATATCTTCCCATCTTAGTTATAAAAAGTTTTAGAAGGGCAGTGGTAATACTTGCAGTTCCAGTGTTGACTCTGGGGAAAATGCTATTTTGTTAAGAATCATTTTATCATTAATTTTATTTAGGAAAACTGTTTCTCTGCTCTGGAAGATATCCCAGACTAACTCTGATTTAGTAATCTGATTTCAGTGAATATTATTTTTTCTGAAAGGCTCTAGAATAAGATTTGTAATTCTATAATTATGTATGAATCTCATGAATGATTTATTTTTATTTTTTCTAATTTCTTCTGTAACTGTCCTTTTATGTTGTAATCTTTGTGGAGGACTAATTGTGGAAGATTATCAAGTTAATAAAAGATGAGACTGATTTGAAAAGGGCCATCATATTGCATAATCCCAGGAGAGTCACTCACTCACAATGCAGTTGTCAAACTGGAGCTCTGCAGCCGTATGTAGCAGCAGTGAGTCAAAGGAGAACATAAAAGTTTGGGTCTACAGGGTATGTAGGTATATAAAATGAGTAGTTATACAGAATTATGTATACTATAGCTTTAAGTTCTATAATTATATGCAATTTGTGTTTCTGAAGAACAACAACAGTTAATGCTACCAGCTGATAAAATAATATATATTATAAATAAATATTATAAAATCTAAGATGTATTTTTTGTTTTATTTTAATTCACAATAATTATATATACTTATGTGGTACAAAGTGATATTAACACATGCATACATTGTGGAATGATCAAATCAGAGTAATTAGTGTATCTATCACTTCAAATATTTATCATTTCTTTGTGATGAGAACATTTCAAATCCTCTCTTTTAGCTCTTTTGAAATACATTCTTAACTGTAGTCACCTTGCTGTGCTACAGAACACCAGAACTTGGTCCTCCTTTCTTACTGTAACTTTCTATCTGTTGAGCAATTCTCCCTTTA